GTGTGAATGCGTACATGTGCGTGCACACATATGTTGTGTGTGTTTCAGGGTATGGTGCTAAGTGCCTCGTGAATGCAACTCGGATTGTGATCGTCGGTGGGGCAGCTTTGCTAGTCTCTTCCGTACCATATCAATCCTAGTTGCAGCATTGATGCATTTAGTATTCGCCTTGAAACATTCTCTCAATCGTTGTCCTCTGTTTGTACGAGCTTGTATGTTATCGTCTGTGCTTGTTTCGGGATGTGGTGTGGTGGTAAGTGCCTCGTGTATGCAACTAGGGTTGTGATCGTCGGTGGGGCAGCTTTGCTCGCCTCTTCCGTACCATATCAATCTCGGTTGCTGCATTGATGCATTTTGTATTCCCCGCAAAACACGTACGACGGTGTTTTTACACATTAGTTTTTGTGGTCAGTTGTGTATGTGTCTTTCAATTTGTGTGTCATTTGGTATCATCATTAGTGCTAGAACGATTGTCCAATTGTTCCATTCGCCGTACTTTGTTAGAATAAGCAGGCAGGAATGATAAGAACAGAAGAGGGGGTTGCACTAGCAGGCAGGTGGGATACATATAGGAACCCTAAAAGGGTTGTACTCTCTGTTGAGTACCCCACTACAGCCTACACAGCAAATAACATTTTGACACACCCCCATAGGCGAAGTGGGGGATAGCCAACACAACAAGCAATCGCAGGACCAGTTCACAAGCAAAGCCTAGTGGTAGAAACAGAGGGCAAGTGAGGAGGAGGAGGGACCAGGAGAGGAGAGGAGGAGGTGGGCGGTCGCTGAAGCTGCTGGCACACGACGCAAACTGGAGTGGCGCACGAACAACTGGTGCAACTGGCACACGGGCAACTGGAGTAACTGGCTCTGCTCGCCGGCAAGAGCAACTGACCCACGGGCGACTGGAGCAACTGGCACACAGGATCCTGGCGCAACGGCCTCACGGGCGACTGGAGCTGCGGACTTCACGACGGCTACCTCCGTTCAACCTCCCCCCATTGCCCCAAACCCCCTTGTCACATCCCCCTCTGCATCCCTAGCACCACTCCCTCAGCTCCCACACCATCCCCCCCTCAGCGGCAGCTGCAGCAGTGGGAGAGAAAGGAGGAGGAGCAGTCGACCACTCACACCCGCCACCCCCATACCCTCCCCCCCACAGCTGCACGCGCAGCAGGGAGATGAAGGAGAAGAAGGGGGGCGGGGGAGCAGGGTAGGAGCTGCCCCGCGACTACAGGGGCAGGCGCGCGGGCTGCAGAGGTGGCGCACGGGCTGCAGGGGCAGCACACAGGCTGCAGGGGCGGCTCGCGGGCTGCAGGGGCGGCTCGCTGGCTGAAAACCGCCGCCCCCCCGAGGCGCGCGTGTCCACGGGGGCGGCGCGCGGGTCCCACGGGGGCGGCGCCCGGGTCCCACAGGGGCGGCGCGCGGGTCCACGGGGGCGACGCGCGGGTCCACGGGGGCAACGCGCGGGTCCACGGGGGCGACGCGCGGGTCCCACGGGGCGGCGCGACGGGTGCACGGGGGCGGCGCGCGGGTCCACGGGAGCGGCGCGCGGGTCCCACGGGGGCGGCGCGCCGAGCAGAAAACCGCCGCGCGCCCCGGGGCGCGAGGGGGGCAGAAAACCGCTGCGCACCACGGAGCGCGCGGGGGGCAGAAAACCGCCGCGCACCACGGGGCGCGCGGGGGGCAGAAAACCGCCGCGCACCACGGGCGTGCGGCGGGCTGAAAAATGTCGCGCGCCTGGGGCGCGCGACTAACAGAATAGCAGCGGAAGCAGTAGGGTGGGCCCATCCACAAGATCGACCAAGGAGGGTCGACCTGCTCTGATAGCATGTTAGAATAAGCAGGCAGGAATGGTAAGAACAGAAGAGGGGGTTGCACTAGCAGGCAGGTGGGATACATATAGAAACCCTAAAAGGGTTGTACTCTTTGTTGAGTACCCCACTACAGCCTACACAACAAATAACATTTTAACATACTTATCGACGATTATGGATGATTGGACACATTTGGTTTCACATAGGGTAACTTATGTGAACAGTGTTTTCTTCCAGAAATTTTGGAGGGAAAAATCACTGTTCACGTCAGTTCTCCGAAAAGTGAAAAAAGCCTAATGACAATTGTAGTCACTCGCAAACGTTTTTTAGCATTGTGCTAAGTACGGGGTACAGTTACCGGAATCCAACATAAACAACAAGGTTTGCCCGTCAGACCTGGTTACTAAAACAATTCCACTTTCTACAATCACAGGTTTGCCCGTGGCGACAATGTGGAAAGTAAGGGAAACACCTATACTTGTCTCACGCACCTGCTAACGGGTTACCTGGTGTTCTAGCAATGGGCATGGACTGTAGGGTCGCACGCAACTTGTCTCCTTGAATGGTACAACCTTGTCCTCGCCAATTTCACGCCCTGAATCTGGACGCTGGGGGGAAACTACCCGTAGTATTTCTTGGACCGAGGGTTGTATAGAGCGATATCTGTTTTAAAGTAGGTAATGTTTCGGACTCCTTTTGAGTACGAGGACTCAACGGAGATCGCAATTGGAAAAATGGCCCGCGCGAGTAGGTGACGAGTCTGATTTACTGTGGGATTTCGTTTTTAAGACTACCGATGAGGAGCGATTTGTTCATATCCTTCTGATTCTGGGTGTCTGGAAGTTATAGCTGAATCTGGTCTAGGGTGCCTCTGTAAAAGTTTTTCAGGGCGTGAAATTGGCGAGGACTCGGTGTAATGATTCTGCCGTCCCAGCTTGTTGAAATTTTCAAAATCGTTTGGGGCCTCGAACCTGAAATTTCTGCTTGACGAAAACTGCTGCCGGCGAGGAGGAAATGCTGCCATTGCTGGCGTTGGGCCGGGACAAAATTGCACACATGCATTAGGTGACAGGATGTTGACGACGATGCTTTGAGCTTTTGCTGTGATGGGGGTCAAATGCACGCGTATTTGACCAGTCCAACGTGTATTCGAACACGCGGGCAAAGGCAAATGCACAATCGTGTACACAGTCCTATCTTGAGAAACATGCAGAAAAATACATCTACAGTTCCGCAAGTTTTCCAGACACACCAATGGATCTCACCCACAAAAGTTTCCAGACCTTTTTGCCTGTGAAACGACTTCAACCATTCACTCAAGTGCCACCCAAAAAGTTGGTGGAATGGGATTGGTGTAGTGTTATGTACCAGACTGGATAAGACAATAAAGTATTGGCCATTCAAACATTCACAGTTTCTCTCACCGTAACAATTATCGGGCCGATATCAATGGCATTCAAATTTTGCCAGAGAAAATTTGCATATGCATGCAATTGACGACCGTATGGGAAAGCGGCTGACGGACCGTTATCTATCCGCGGTCAGAAAAACATAAACCCCATATGGACGGCATGCGACTAGGGAAGCCTCAACACTAAACACGAGTTACCTGCGAGGTTTTCCCGGCGGGTCCCCCGAACCGTCAATTGCATGCATTCGCAAACCCGCACTAGCGAAATCTGCATGCAGCTGAAAATGGCCGACAATTATCGGCTAGCAAAAGATGCATGACGTTGGGTGGTGGTGGTGTGGTGCTAAGCAACACAGTGAAGCTAACACGCCCTTGTCTTGTTGTGTTGTTAGTTGACAAATAAGGACAAGTTCTGTTGACCTTTTTTGGAGCAGAGCCACTCCATTTTTTTCCTCCTTCGAACCCTGGGGGGCCATATCGCAAGTTTGAGGAACTGGTTCGGGTTCGATTCGATCCAAAAAAGGATTTGTGAGCGACGACTCCCCAGTTCCGGGACAATGCCGTCTCGTGTTTGGCCTGAATTTCAGAGTGAGTCTTGAACACCACCCCGGAAATGCAGCATCGCAGGACCATAAATACTGGAATACAGTGTCGCTAACGTTCCACTCTGCCAGCCGTCACGGTAAACAAAACACCTTGCAACTACTAGTATAAAGCGCTTGGAACACTGCGGTGAGCAGGGTGAACTTGGTTGCAACTCGGATCTTGCAGGGTCCCCCAAAACATATCGACAGCTCTGATGGTGCTGATATGCTTGATTGTAACGATTGTTCCGCATGAGACCCCCCTGGGTGTAGGTCCGGACAAAACAAATCACATCGATGGTTGGGTTCACCAAGGGGAATCAACAATCTTCAAACTGAAATGTCCTTTTGGCTCCAATTTGAAACCCTTCCTCCACAGAAGCCAAGTGATAGTTATCAGAAGGTAATCCAAGAGGTGAAGTCAATAAGGTTTTGATAGCTAGGGCTAGCATACGCGGTTAGGGGAGCCGAGATGTTCCTATTTCCCTCAGCAGCATACCTGTAACGCCTGCCGGAGGCTAGCACTGCTATCTGTGTAGGAAAATACGCGCTGGTGTGCCACCTCAGTCAGTTTCGCTACTAACGCGGGGGGTTCGACGAAAACATAAAAGAAACCGAGATGGCCTAGCGATCTACGGCTTTAATTATTCATAACTGTCGAATCGCCTGATTCACTCTCATATTTGCATTCGTGCGCCAAAAGGTTGTCTCTGGATCTTTTAGGGCGAAAAACTCGTACCATCCCGGAAGTGTCAAAATTAAATATTCTAGGACTATGACCTACTACGATGTGACCTAGCCGTATCCTACTACTACGATGGGTCATTAAAATGTGTCTATAGTATAGGACAGGGCCTGACTTTGCTACCCTAGACGGAAACTTCCCCTTTCGACATTTGTTTTTGGATGAAAAGGAACTTTCAGGACAGATCGAGGACTTAACCTATTGGTGACATCATGGACACCGTGCCAGGCCAGGCGGAGGGTGACCAGCATTCCCAAAATCAAGTGGCTGCAGCGACTGAGATGCAGCACGCACGGCAAGAAGAGCTCGTGGACCATAGTCTCTCAAACTTTGGCCAACAACTCACACGCGAGCCCGCGCCGCAACTTCGTGGAGTACGAGAGATGATGGAAGCAAGCGCCCTGATGGGGGCCAACGGTAGCGCTTTGAATGCGAACATGGATTGCATGAAGGTTGCACTACCGATATTGCCTGGGACTTCAAATCCTCCTGTGGGTTCGCAGCCACGGCTGTTTGGACAGGCGGGGCCGCAGGAGATGATGCAGCAGGGGGAAGGGCAGGGACAGCTACAGCAGCAGAAGCATCAAGATCCGCAGCATCAACAGCAGCAGGAGCAGCAGCAGCAGCAGCAGCAGCAGCAGCAGCAGCAGCAGCAGCAGCAGCAGCAGCAGCAGCAGCAGCAGCAGCAGCAGCAGCAGCAGCAACAAGGGCAGCACGACATGCACCAGCTTGGCCAGGGACAGCTGCTACCATCAGACGTTTGGCGACAAACGGAGATACAACCTCCCATGGTAGAACCCCTGCATTCAGGCACATACCAGGACCATGGGCAAACACCGCAGCTGGAACCACCCTGCAGTCAGTCCAAGGATTTGCCAGGAATATCCGCTTCTGCTTCAGTTCCGAAAGTGCACCTGCCATTCCAGCCACAAGTGCAATGGGCACACGATACTCGGCTTCTAGACCAGATTCAATATCAACAGGAGCCACTGCTGCAGCTCACACCACCATCCAACCGAGACGCACCGCCGCAAGGGCAGCTCAGGTTGGAGCAATTGTCGGCACAGCTACAGCCACTTCTGCAGCGTCAGCCATCAGGTGTCACAACAGATCCAAGTCAATCAGAGTTGACACACAAGCGCACTGCGGCTCAAAGACGATACACCCAACCAGGGAAGTACCGCGGGGTGAGGAAGCGAGGCGAAGGTCGGTTTATCGCAGAAATCAAGGACACGACTTTCGGCGTGCGCAAGTGGTTGGGGACTTTTGCCACTGCAGAGGAAGCTGCCCTGGCGTTTGATCGGGCCGCAGTGGAGATTCGAGGGACAAAGACGAAGCTTAACTTTCCTGAGGTGATTCTGGGGGGCGAAGGAGCAGTATCTGAAGAACAGGGTGAAGCTGCTGCAGAGACGGATATTGAAACGACTAGCTTGGGGGTGACGATGTGTGCTGAGCAGGTCAAGCAGGGAGGCACGAGCTCTTTTAAAAAAGGAAAGGCAATGGACTGTGAGCAGGCGGCAGGTGGGGGACTGTGTGAAGATGGAGTCTGGCAAATGACGTATGGAGAGGCAATGGATTTGGAGGCACAGGCAGTGGGTTGCCAAGGTGTAGTGGTGGCTCATGCGATATCGGACAAGGACGTGGTTGGGTTGACAATGCATGCAGGCAACAGCACTGTCAGTGAAATCAGCTCGATCCGAGCTGGCCCTTTTACCTCGTCTGCCTCCGCGCCTGCTTCCATCCTCTCCCTCCCGCCGGCCATGTTTCTCCCTGGAGAGCCGTGTTCCAGCTTCAACGCGGATCATGGCGCTTCTGCACGTGTGGTTGCTGGTGATGGCGGTGTGACGGAGGAATGCAGACAGGAGGATTTCCTTCTGGAAAAGGTGGGCAGTGGAAGTTTAGGGCTTGTGCCTGGAAAAGTAATAGTGCAAGAGGACAAGATGTATCTTGGAACAAAAATAGCATTAGGTGGAGAGCTTCGTATAGAAAATCTGGATTTGTATTTCCAAACCCCTCACCCACATTTCTCACAGCAGATACCGTTTCCACAGCAGCAGCAAGAAGGGCGGTACCAGCAGCAGGAGGGGCAGGAGCAGCAGCAGCAGCAGCCGCAGCAGTCACAATGGCACGGTCAGCCGAGTTTGGCGCTCCAGAAGGAATCCATGCACTTTGAGCAAGCACCCCCGCAGGTTTCTGCATCCTCACCCCCCCTACAGTCGTGGGCCATCACTGCTGCAACGCATCTCACCATGACCATGGCTCACCACAGCAGCCCCCCACGCCAAGGCATGCCAATTCAAACGATGATGCAAGTGGAAGCCGAAGCAGAGGAGGGTGGCAGCGGCGTCGACAGACTTAGGGATAGCATGAGATCCGATCAGCCAATACCAAAGACTGGGGATGCAAGGAGCGGTTCTGAGCTGTTTCCACCACATCATTCTGTTGCAACACACAGCTCGTGGGACGAGACCCGTCATGTCGGTCAGCTAAGTGAAGACGCTCCCGTCATGGCTGCATTGGAAACAATGTTTACCAGGCTGCCAGGCCAGGTAGACAAGGAGACCCCAGGAGGGCGGAATGAGGTGTCACCGTATCAAGTCCAGGCAGAGCAGAGTGAGATGTCTGATGCTGACATGCATAGTGGCGGGCTCCTGCTGGAAAATGAGAAACTTGTCGCTGAGGTGGTGTTAGAGCCCACTCGGGATGAGCCGCATGGTAACACAGCAGTGCACGCAAGGGACCAGTCTGTGAACGCATGGAGCACAGAGGCAGCAGGAAATTTGGTTTTGAGCGATGCAGACCCCTTTGAAGTGCCCGGGGCACAAGGAATGAACGTGCCGTGGTGCAGTGACGTGCATTTCTCTGCTGTTGGCATGCCTGGCATGTCGGTCCCTGTTGAGAAACACCATCAGCAGCGATGTCCGCAGCAGCAGCACAACCAGCAGCACAGCCAGCAGCACAGCCAGCAGCACAGCCAGGAGCAGCAGCCACAACTGCCGCAACCACAGCAGCAGCAGCACTATCAGCAGCACTACCAGGAGCAGCAACCACCAGTGCTGCAACCACAGCAGCAGCAGCACTATCAGCAGCACTACCAGGAGCAGCAGCCACCACTGCCGCAACCACAGCAGCAGCAGCACTATCAGCAGCACTACCAGGAGCAGCAACCACCACTGCAGCAACCACAGCAGCAGCAGCACTATCAGCAGCACTACCAGGAGCAGCAGCCACCACTGCAGCAACCACAGCAGCAGCAGCACTATCCACAGCAACCACAGCAGCAGCAGCACTACCAGGAGCAGCAGCCACCACTGTCGCAACCACAGCAGCAGCATCACTATCAGCAGCACTACCAGGAGCAGCAGCCACCAGTGATGCAACCACAGCAGCAGCAGCACTATCAGCAGCACTACCAGGAGCAGCAGCCACCGCTGCCGCAACCACAGCAGCAGCAGCACTATCCACAGCACTACCAGGAGCAGCAGCCACCAGTGCTGCAACCACAGCAGCAGCAGCTACCCCAGGATCTTCCATGTGCACAGCAGGGAAAGAGGGTTCTGCCATCCTCCAGAGCCTCCTCTGACAGTGACTTGCCAATAGAAGGATGTGGGGGGTGGACACCAGGAAACCAAGTTGTGGAGCCAAGCAACACCACTCATGACCTACCGTGTCAACCTTGGGCCGAGCCTCGGAGCCATGAGATACACACTGTATCATTCTCTGTGGAACCATCCCCAGTGGACACATGGGTTTTTATGCCTGAGCATGTTGGAGGTGGTGCAGGTAGTTCTGAGGCTGATGCCGAGAGGGGTGGCATCAAGGATCTCATGCCTTCATTCCCTTCTCCATTCCCAACAGGCCAGTTGCCGTCCTTCATGGAGGAGAGAAAAGCGCATTTTCAGGAGAGTGGGCCTTTTGATGTAAGGCGGTTGGAGACTTCACAGCCAATGGAGCTGGAAGAGCATCAGTTGTTCCACGCAGCAGTGCAGGAGCGGGCGCAGCCACCACACCAGGCACCACAGCATGGCGAGACCATACACGAGGGGAAGTACCAGCAGAATCATCTCTCCTTCATCTCTACTGATTCGCCACTTCAGGTAGCATCTGAGGCGGGCCGAATGATTTCGATACCTCTGATGCAGCAGATACATCACCAACAGCAGCAGTAGAATAACAAGGGCTAAGTGTTACCACTCCAAACGCCCCTGTAATTCACACTCATTTATTAAGACTCAAGTCTCACTGGTGTCGCTGGTGTCGCTCACATGAGGTCCTTGAGGATGGCATGCATCCAGATTTCCCATCTTTACCTGACATCCATGCATACCTCACAAACTTCATACCTCCAGTTTGTCTTAAATATCCAAATTATGAACCAGTTCTGCTAAGCTAGGGGCATCATGCTATTAGTATGCACTCTATTTCACATTAAAACAATGTTTGTAGTTTGAACAAAAAAAGCTGAAAATAGGGTAAAAACTTATTTGGGAGCTATGCAATCAAAATAGCAGCTTTTCAAATGAAACCATGGCTGATCGTATAGCATGCTTCTCCTTAAACGAAGATACTCCAGGGAGCATGAGGCAGGCCAAACACCACCAAACATGACAACTGCAGGAGTGCAGGGGTGTCAGAATAGCACTAGCGTAATGATGACCACTAGGAACAATGGGATACAAGTATGCAACCCTAAAATGGGTTGTACTTCCTAACGTATACCACACTGTAGCCTAATGCATCTGAATACAAATATATAATTTGACACACCCATATAGGCTAGGTGAGGGGCATCATCACACAAGCAAGAGAAGTAACAATTCAAGGCAGATCAACTAGTCCAACCACTGAGCAAGAGATGCAACTCACGGTGGTACGACTAGCAAGCCTCTGAGACAAACGGCCACGAGGCCGGTTCAAGAGTTCATATACATATACAAACATTTAAATAAGCCAAGTTATGAACAAGAGGCACATCTACAATAAACGAGGGCCTGTCTGAACAAGACCAAGCTATGAACAGAACATGTGGTGGTCACCAGGCGGGAATGCCTTGGTGAAGATGTCCGCAGTGTTGGCCTCTGAGGCCACAAAGACCAAGGGTGCATGGCCGCATCGCTGCAGCTCTCGTAGCAGGAAGTATCGCAGCGATATGCTGCTCTCGATGGATGCTCTGGACACAGGAGGATCATGTCATTGTTGCCAGCGAACATGGTTGGGGTAGAGCTAGGCCGCTGACCTAAGTCAGTGAGGAAGAAAATCAACCAGCGCAGCTCCTGAGAACCCATGGAACTGGTGTAGATTTTGGTCTTAGCACTAGACGAAGCTATACATGCTCATGCCAACCCCCACCACACTACTCCAGAGCCCAGGTTGAAACATTAGCCCTGTGTAGACCTACGGGACTCCTCGTCGTCCGCCCAAGACGAGTCGCAGTGCCCGGTAAGTCGTACTGGCTGGCTCCCTCCAAACACAATGCCTGATGTGGTGGCCAAGTACATTGCGACCCTCTTAGCAACACACAGTGAAGATGATGGTGTCTCCCCGTCTCAACAAAGCGAAGAAGGACGCGGAGAGTGTATGCGAGGTCACATTGAGTACACGTCATCAGGTACATGAGGCAACCCACTGGCTATGCGTAGCGACTACTAGGCTCAACCGGCTTGTCGGAAACATGATCAGTGAGTATGTGGTCAACAACAAGAGGAGTGGGATGTGTGGAGGAGAAGTGGAAGCCGAACCGCTAAAGGACGTGCGTCACCATGTGTGTTTGAGGCAAAGTGATGGTGCGAGCTGCTCTGTCCCTGGTGATATGCAAGCCAAGATAGTTGCGCAGCTCACCAAGGTCAGTGCAAGTGTGTCTCTTCTGTAGTTCATACTTCACTGAAGCCGAAGCAACCACGTCTGCAGTAGACAAGACCAAGTCATCGACGTACACGACGATGAAAAAAGGAGTGAAACCAGAACGAACAAACAGTGAGGGGTCAGTTGAAGAAGGACTGCACCCGATGTCTACAAGAGTGGAGTGGAGAGTGTCATGCCACTCATGAGGTGCCTGGCGGAGACCATAGACTGGTCGTCTTGGGCTCCACTAGGTCCCAGGGGGGAAAGTGCCACTGAAGCCGGCGCAACCAGATCTCCTCGTGCAAGCTACCCTGGAGGAAGGCAGTGGAAAATTCTAGGGAGTGCAACTCGTAGTCTCGCTGTGTTGCGACATGCAACAACACCCGAAGCGTGGCCATCTTCAGGATGGGGGAGAAGATCTGAAAGAAATATACTCCCTCACGCTGACTAAATTCTCTCGCCACATAGCGCGCCTTGAAGACAAGCGGCGATCCAGGCGGCCGTTTGGCCTTGAAGATTCACATGCCATCGGCTACGTTCGCCCCGCGAGGATGAAACTGCATCGACGTACGTGCCTGTGGATCTCCAAGACGCCATCTCGAAATCCATGGCTGCTATCCGCTAAGAGGCCCACTGACCCGACACCGCCCGAGTGAACGTGCGATGAGTCGGGATGTCTGGAGCGTCAAGGTCTCCCTCAGGGGCTAGCAGCGTGGCACACAGGTGCGGAGCAGCGGACGCAAGGAACTCCAGATCATGCTGCCTGTCCTCTAGGACAATATAGCTAAGGGCAACAACACCCCCGGTGGACAAAGAACGGGAAGCTAGAGGAGCCACCAACTGGGTGGCATAGTCAAGGCGGTGGGTGGAGGCAAATTTTCGTGTCAGCGGCGACAAGAGCCGAGAGAGACGACAGAGAGGCAGTAGGGTCAGTGACGAGAGAGGGGAGAACACGGGAGACAACATGACAAGCCGTAGTGAAGTGGTCAGAAAGAAGCTGTGAAGAAACAGTAAGAGACGATACAAGAGGTAAAGGGATGACAGATGGAGGAGGAACACGCGGAGGAAGGGTACGAACGAACAAGGAGTGTAGGCTTTGAACAGGAGACACAGAACGAGTACGCACTGGACAACGTCGCCATGAAGCGGAAGAGGAGATGGTAGGGACCGAGAAGGAGAACGAGCTTGAGAGGCATCCGGAGGAGGAAACGAGGACCGTAAACAAGAGGAGGAGGTGAGCGGTCTGGAGAAGGGGAAGGAAAACCAAGAGTCAGAAGAGCACTCAAAGGCTGCGACGACCGCTGCAGCAGCTGCTGCGGCCGCGGTGGCTGCTGCCGCGGCTACTGTTGTTGTTGTTGTTGTTGCTGCTACTGCTGCTGCTGCTGCTGCTGCTGCCATAGAAGCTGGAACCTGGTCAGGTAACGGGGAACGACCGGGGCAGGTGCAGTAGCTGCAGCACCCCCAGAACCAGCACCCTCTGTGTTAGTATCTCCAGCTCCAGCACCTCCAACTCTAGCACCCCCGGAGCCAGCACCTACAGTGCCAGTACCTTCAGCTCCAGCACTATCTCTAGCACCAACACCTCCAGTAGCAGCGTCAATTCCTCCAGCGTCAGCACCCCCACCGTCAACACCCCCAGAACCAGCGCCTCCAGCACCAGCACCTCCAGCACTAGTACCCCCGGAGTCCACTGCGTCCTACCGCGGTAGAATTGAAGGTTGTTGCGGTGACTGTGATGACGACGTAGGGGACTTTGGTGAGGGAGACGACACCAGGCGTGCTACCGAGGGGGGAGGGGTAGCGGTAGACACACCTGACGGGGTAGGACCTGGGTGGGGTGGGGCTACCGGAGGAGCAGGACTAGGAGGAAGAGTGGGAGTCAGGAAGAGGAGAGGGGGGGAAACCGGGAGACCTTGGTGGGGGTAGCATGAGTAGAAGGACACAGACTCATCAAACATGACGTCACCAGAGTCGAAGAACCAGTGAGGGGACAGGTTATATAATAGCAATTCAGGGGCGTCAATCGAGAAACCAAGCAAGACACAGGGAAGGGTGCAAGCCGAGAGCTAGTCCGTGCGAGGATCGCGGACATGCGCAAGGCAGTGCATGACACAAAACGCAGATTTGACACCGGGAGTCCCAGCCTAGAGTCTGGTTGGGGAAACCTCCGGGCGCGAGTTACGCAGCCAGAATTTCGACTGGTGTACAGCGTACCGAACCGCAAAGGGCCACAGAAAATGGGTCTGTACCGAACCCTCTGGCTACTTTTCACAGGGAGCCAGGCTCTGGTCTGTACTCGCTACACACTAGGTCCCACCACACTGGGTCAGGTCAGGTCAGGTCAGGTCAGGTCAGGCAGCTGCTATGTCGTGCGACTGTCGGTCACTCACCCAATTGTCGGTCCTTTGGCACCACCGTCTAGGTCACCCGTCCTTCCCGCGCCTCAGTAGGATGGTACGTCACCGACTGGTCTCAGGTCTCCCTGCGTCTCTCGCCCCGCTTTCCCGCTCACCTACGCCGCCGTGCACTCCTTGCGTCGAGGGTCAGCAGCACGCTGCCCCTCACTCCTCACCCAGTCTGTGCGTTTCATCCGGGTCCCCTGGCGTCTTCTCCTGTGCAAGAGTTTCATGACGAATCCCTTCCCAGTCCCCGTGGTTTCATCGTACTCCTCTCAGTCGTGATGTGTCCCTAGAGTCTCGTCCATCTCGTTACCGTGCCGACGGTCCGTTTCACGTTGTTCTTTTCTCTCGTGTTCCACCTCCTCCGGTCCTCCCGTCACCTCCTGTGTCGTCCTTCCTGTACCACCCGCTCCGGCTTCCGACACTCATCGTGTCGCTCCACATGTCACCTCCCGTGTTCTGTCCTCGTTGGTCACACACCCGACTGCCCCTCCGTCGTTTGTCTCAGATCTTGTTGCTGCTGTCGGTGACTTTGCCTCTTCCCATCGCCTTGATTACGCCGCTCACTTGGTGAGTGGCCCTGCCCATTACCCGTCCTCTAAGGGTGCTCCTATCTTTCCCTTGGAGGTCCTCGAGGACAGGCAGTTCGAGCTGCCGTTCCTTGCGGCCGCTGATCCTCATCTCCGTGCCATGCTGCTTCCCCCTGAGGGGGATCCAGACGCCCTTGACATCCCGATCCTCGCACTCACGCGGAGGCGATCTCGGGACCCTGGGCTTCGTACTAGATAGCAGCTGAGGAGGCATAGATGGCATCTTATAGGTCCACATGCACCTACGTCGACGAAGTCCCGCCCCCTGGGGCGAACACCGTGAGTGGCATGTGGTTCTACAAGATGAAGCGGCCGCCTGGAGCACCACCAGCCGCCTGG